AGCTGCTGCGCACCCAGGGCCTGGCCGGCCTCTACAAGGGTCTGGGGGCCACGCTGCTCAGGTGAGCCTTCCTTCCTCACCTGGAGACACAGCCCGTCCTGTTCCCTGGGACCGAGGGCGCAGGAGAGGGAGCCCAGGCCCAGAGGGCTTCGTGTCCCCATCAGTCCTGTGTTGCTTCCAGAATACGCAACCCCAGGTGAACAAATGATTTCCACACTTCCTGTTTATCCAGAATTGGCCGGGGCCGCAGAATGGGTACCAGGAAGACTCACGTTGTGGCTCCTTCCCTGGGGCCAGGCCCTCCTGAAGACGGGGCGTTTTGTGGGCCCCAAGCACCTGCTAATGCCCTGTCTAGAGTCGGAAGGCACCCTCTCTTCTTACTTGAGCCTGAATGAATGCACCGCTCTTTTTTTTCTTTTTTTTTCCAGTCTGTTGCCCAGACTGAATGCAGTGGCCGCTCCCAGCCACCACAGCCTCGACCTGCTGGGCTCCGGCGATCCTTCCGCCTCAGCCTTCCGAGTAGCCGGAATTACAGGCGCGCGCTACCACGCCCGGCTAATTTTTTTTGATTTATTGTAGAGATGAGGCCTCGCTGCCCAGGCGGGTCTCGAACCCGCGGGCTCAGGCAGTCCACTCGCCTCAGCCTCCCAAAGGCGCGGGATGACAGACTGAGCCACCGAGCCCGGCTTGCACCCCTCTTCTTAACCGAGTCTGAATGAACCCACCTCCTACCCTAGCCGGAATGCCCCCCCTTTTTGGGGGGCGAGGTTAAAAGGATTTTATTATGCTCAGATTTTGTGGGCCAGAAATTCAGACAGGGCACAGTAGGAATGGTATGTTGCACCCGCTTCTTACCCTAGCCGGAATCCACCCCTCTGGCCTGAATGCACCCCGTCTTCTTACCCAGACTGGATGCACCCCTCTTCCCACCTTAGCCTGCCCGTCCTTCACGGAACGGGCCCGGCCTGGATTCTGCACCCGGCTCCCCAGGGAGAGGGGCCGGTGCCGTGGCCCAGGCAGGCGCCGGGCGGGGGGCAGAAGCAGCGAGGTCTCTCCTTCTGTGCTGTCCCACCCAGGTCATCCCGGGTGCCCCGGGAGGAGCTGTCACCGCGGCTTGCCTCTGATGGTGACAGCCCCGAAGCTCCCGGCGACGGCTCCCGTGTGCCCTGGGCGGTCCCCAGAGCTGCTGGCAGCCGTGTCTCCTCCCGCAGGGACATTCCCTTCTCCATCATCTACTTCCCGCTGTTCGCCAACCTCAACGGCCTGGGCTTCAACCCGCGAACCGGGAAGGCGCCCTTTGCTCACTCCTTCATGGCGGGCTGTGTGGCAGGCTCTGTCGCCGCGGTCGCCGTGACGCCCCTGGACGGTAAGCAAGCACGTGGGCAGTCGGGGCTGCTGCCCGGCAGGTGTGTTGTTTCCATGGGATAAATGGTCCTTTGGCTCTTTAGAAGAGGGACCAGCCCGGCTCGGTGGCTCAGCATGGAATCTCAGCGCTTTTTTAATCCCAGCGAGGTGAGTGGATTGCCTGAGCCCACGGGTTCGAGACTCACCTGGGCAACTTGGCGAGACTTCATCTCTACAATAAATCAAAAATCAGCCGGGCGTGG